CGTAATTAACACGTTCCGTGCCGAGCTTTTTTTACTCGAATCTTCACACTTTGATATTTTACTAAAACTTGATGTATTACGTGCAATTATTAATTCTCGTACACATAACAACGTAACAAAAACTTATCAACGCTCATTCTTGCGGTGGAAATTGATTCTTCGGTTCTAAATTTCTTGTAAACAATTTCTTCAGTTCACTAAGTAAACATGCAAGCGTGTACCATCGATGGTACACGTGGCACGGAACGTGTTAATTAATTATTAATTATTTAATAAAAAGTGTATAAGTAACACAATATAAATCATCGTTTGAAAAAAGGTGTTTCTAAATCAAATATGATATATTGTAAGTATACTGGAACAAAACTAAGGTAGCATATGTTCGATATCAAACACCTGATCTTATACATTGTACTTTAAACATGTTCCCTTGCTCGAACATATTCTGTTCTGCTCTGCCACCGAAGATACAATTTGCTTCCGCGTCTACAGAGCGCATAGCACGCTTGAATTTGACCGATCGTACAGCAGGACTTAAAAATCATCGAGATCGATGCAGGGTTGGTTCACCCACAGAGAGACATTAATATTCATCTTTCAGGGACCGAATAGACCCGGGCGAGTTCGTCGTTCGAATAACAATGAGCGTCACACCGCACGTCCACACTCGCACGCCGTTCGATGACGAATGAATGGTTGAACGATTGAATGATGATATGACAGAATGTACGTACGTTACGTACCTTTCAGGTGTTTCGGGCAGCACACGAACTCGACACCAGAGAACAATGATATGCCGCAGGGCAGAAGCATCGCGAAGCTCCTCAGGTTCATGTTTCTCTCCCTGCATGTGTCCGCGGCGGTCGCGTTCCATCTGCAAAGAAGAATTCAGCCGGCGTTCTTTATCAGAGAATATCACAGAGGCTGGACGATCCGTAAAGAGAACGGTTTAGGGGAAATTCTTGTCGAAGATGCCGGTCGAGAGGCAACGCAGAACCTCGACCGAATCCTCTTACAGGCGAACTAATTTCGCCGGGTCGCGAGAAACAATCCAAGAAAGTCGATTAAGCCCCGGTCAATCGATACGAAGTTTTCAAACGCCACGATCCCGGGAACTGTAGTGCCGATGCTTGGAACGTGCATATAATAATTTCAGGTCCGCTCGGAAAAGACGAAACCAGTTCGCGGAATATTCGTGGGGTATTTTTACTCGCTTCGCTTGTCGTTAGACGTTCTTATAACGTTTCCGAGACGTGCTGTGCTTAATATTTCACAACCGTACGATACTTAAAAATAAAACCGTTGGAGATTCATGGTTTTAAATATTCACTTTACCATTCAATTACCAAAGCGAATCAATTTGCTCTGGCTTGCAAATAATGCTTCGAACAAATCCTGCTGCTTATGAAGTGTTTGTGAAGTGATGTTAAATAGACAGATTGATCCAAACACAAGTATTCTATGTAACAAGAGTAATGTGGAAAAGTAAAATTGATTAGATAAAATATTTGTAAAATGGAAGGTAAGAGAATTATTCTTGCACGATGCTAATCTAAATAACGTTCAAGCTTTCTGTGAGAATATTTTTGCAAGAAATATTCTCAGCATGAACGTTTTATTTCAATCGCACTTTTAAGACTCTATTTAAATTAAACTATGAAGACTCTATTTAAATTAAGCTATGAAGTCTCTATTTAAATTAAACTATGAAGACTCTATTTAAATTAAGCTATGAAGTCTCTATTTCAATTAAACTATGAAGACTCTATATAAATTGAATTATGAAGACCGTCTAAATATCACGATTTCATATTTTCAGATGGACTTCGTAATGGAGAATATTTGATTTCGGAAGTTCGTAGATGTACATATCGGGCTGAAAAGGGCGTAGATATGGTATCGGAGACAATGCGGCAATTCCCGTAGCGAATAGATCCGGCAGTTAAGGTGTAAAGTCTCGGCGCAGAGCATCGTTCTCCGTTTTCATTAACTATAAAACACGATCCCATACTTCTGGCAGGTGTGGCGCACGGTTGCACGGGAATCGATAGTTGGCTCGTTGCCTTCGGTGTTCGTTGAAATTCTGTTCCTTACCTATGAGATTCCCAGCATTTCGTCTGATTGTGGAGGTGGTCGAAGAGGCACCCTTCCGGAACGAGCAACGCGTCGCTTTGGAACGGGCCCTCTGAAATGAAATAGCCGTGAACAGAAACGAGTCGAACTTTCCGCGGAAGCGTACGCCTGCATCGGCAGAATCCGCGAAACGCAAATCGGCTTCGTTCCCAGCGCGGAGTTTTGTTTGGCGTATTCGCGGGAAAAGGATTTATAATTCCCTTTCGTTAGCGGCACGCTTTTGAAATGATTTCTCCTAGCGTTTCGACGAGCAGCACGCGAAAATGCTTCGTTCATTTTTTAATTCTACGAGAGCCGTAGAAATTATATTTTTGGACGCCGATTTTTTTTCTGAAACTGTATAATTTTTATTCGAAACGGGATGGGAGTTGAAATATTCGTCACTTTTTTTTTATTATACGAATGTTTAATAAGGTGTCTTGTAGTGAATAATTCTTTTTTTTTTTAATTTATGGTATCTTCAGTCGGTTGGCTTCAACAGTGTCGCTAAGCTTGGTAGAATTATTTACGAACGTTCTGCGAGTCGACAAAACATTTCAAAGTCGAGGGATCTCTTTGGATGCAGGGCTGGCCGTTTCATTGAATTTATGCAAGTAGTTTATTCAACGGGTTGACGTCCTTTATTATACAATGCAAACGTGTGTTTCCAAGTACCTACGGCGTGCAATTAGAAGTACGTAAACAAAGAAAAAAAACGAAGTTAAGAAGAAGCTAATTAGGTTATCGGATATTCTAGATGGTGATAATTTTTTTGTAAATTTCGTGAACACCCAATAGATCGTAAAAATGTTTCAAAGTGGAGAAGTATCTTGATGGTCGCGCGTTCGAGGGTGCTTTTGCCGAAGCGATGCGACCGGTTGCAACCAATTAGGTAATCGAAAGGTGAGCACAAAGTTTTATCGATTCGCGGGGTTCTACAAATTTCAGGGACACCCTGTAGATACGTGTGTCTCTACTCAACCCCTTAATACGAGCTCTCTGCCGCTATACGCGGCACTCGACAACCCGAAGAATCAATACGGCAGAAACTGCAAATCAGAGTCACTCTGCTGGGATTGAACGTAAACTCGTAAAAGATTCTAAGGTGGCGGTCACGATCGGATTATGGGGAGGGTCTTTCCACCGACTTTCCAGCATCGTCTAATAATTTCCAATTTTCATCGAACGTTCCACAGACACGTTGGCAAATGCTAAACATATTTTCCTGCCGGTAGAAAACGTTTCCTTTTCAGCGATTTTCATGAATATTTCTCGAAGTTATAATCTCTTTCTCGAAATTGATTTAGCTGTATTTTCATTATATATAGCAATTTTTCCAACAGCTTTAATTAATTGTTTTTTGGTTTGGTTTTGTCCATGATTGAAATCGATTTAAAGATCGTATAACTTGACGTAAATAAAGTCTCAAAGACTATAATGCATGTTCGATTGAAATTTCTACAATTCATTCTAGATACTGTCAGCCTTCATTGGTAGTAAAATTATATTTTTATGTTGACTTTATTATACTTCTCTTATCGAGAAATATTTATGAAAAATTCGCCGCGATCTTCGCGTTTTTATTTCGGGCAAGATAAAACCTAGAAACGGTTCATTAAAAGTGTATTAAAAGAATTGCTAAACAGAGCGAAAAGATGAGTAAACACAGTATATATAGAGGACATTATAATACTGAATGTACCTGTATAAAATATAATAAAAAAATTCACGAGAGGCTACCTACGGGGTGAAAATAGCCCCTAAAAAATTAAGCGCGACGAAGGAGCGAAAAACGTCGTTAAACAATAACACATCTATAAAAACGTATTACAACCAATGTCAGCCCTGTGCCTTCATTCGATGTAGCAGTTAAAAAAAGAAATCCGGATTATCGCGTATTCTTTTTTCGGACGTGCCGTTCATCTCGCAGCACGCGATATTTGAAAAACTGTTTATGGGTAAGTGTTATGTTGAAATATCGTTGCCGGTAAACGCAGTATTTTAAAAAGCTGCACCACGAAATCCGTATTTCCCTGCATTTTTCGGTGATTTTAATTTGTCACAGCCTGAATTTTCACCAGGGGAAAAAATACGGAGAAATTACTTAGCGTGTGCTTCGCTAATTGCAATGTTCCAGATTTTATCTGAATTTTTATACGGCTGCGCCCGCGGGGAATAAAAGGCCCGTTTCCATTGAATATTTCCAGAATTGATGGAGATTTCTGCATCTCGATGTTCGATCTTTTTTCAGGGAAAATATTACCGCATCCGCCTCATTAAATATTTGTGTCACAAATCTCCCTTGTTCAACACAATTTTGCTCTTCTGTTTGATTATTCCCTAATGGTCGTTAGTGGACCGCTGTTCTGGAAATTTATGGCAGGAATTACTAGGGTAAATTTCACAGTTGGACTACTGCGATTCAGAATATAAATATTGTTATTCGACTATGCGTGATTTGTCATTTGATTTAAATTTTTAAGGCTTTGTTAAGGTATGTGTCTAGAAGGAGTATATTAAAGAATATGTTCTGGACCATTAAACTTAATAAAATAAGAGAAACATATCTATCCGACTCCTAATTCTTACAATTGTTATATAACACATTTTTAAACGAACAGAAACACTACAAACAACTTTTATAATTCATTTATAATTCATTCATAATTCATTTATGATCAAATAAACAATGCATATTGCCTACACTTGGTTCGATTAGTTACAAACGACGCTAATAAAATAATTTTAAAGTTATTCATTCTCATTTTAGATTTGCGCTGTTAAAGGAGGGATTTTTTGTCTGTCATTTTATCGATTAAACACCGAGGAACAAATTAAGTTCGCAAAATAAAGGGTAAGGGTTAAATTTCGATTTTTCCAACGAACAAATTGTTCCACGGACAAACAGACAAGAAGAAGCAAAACGAGCAAAATGTAGAATATTTTCTGCGCCAGCGCGAAAGAAACTGCTGCGGAAAGGTGCAGCAGAATATTAAAGAGAGCGCGCCGTGAAAAAGGTAATTAGTGATCTCGCGGTCTTTAAAAGTGAAATAAATGAAGACCTCGGCCGCGATACGGCAACGACTGATTATCGAATGGCGTCAATGATGCTGTTAAACAGCCATTCGATGGATGTATAGAACGGTTTACCCTCGTTAAAGTGCACGATCGTAGCCTGTGTTGCGCGCAAACGGTTCAAATATACTCTTAATTAGAACGGTGAATGGCCGACGGTAAAAAAGTTGATACGTTTAACGTTCATTCAATACAGGCGCGAATTTCAGTTTGCGTTCCTCGGAATTGAGAGTCGTATGATCCGAACGGCGAAATAACCGGTCCGCGACTTCTCTGCGCGCAAAATTACAAGCTTTCGTTTTCAAGACTCCGCGCCGGTTTTACTTTCCCGTGTAATTTCATTGATTAGTCCGCTGAAGGATTTCTCGAGGAAATACTTTCGTAATCGCGAGGTGCGAAGTCCGAAATGTGCAGTTTCCAGAGAGATTTAAAATTCAATTCGTTCGTAGCGGTTTAAAGAGATTTTTAATGCTGAACGACGATATCTGCTGTTTGGAGAAATAATTTGATTCTGAAATAGGACGTCGAGGTGCCGAAAAATATTTAAAAGTTATATACGATGTTTAACATTTTTTATCTTCATATTCTGAAATCAATTGCGATTCGAAATATTTTATACGTTTTACCAATATTTACCAATTTTCGATGTCGAGTCAAATCTGCAGGGAAATGTCCCATTTTCAGATACATATATGAATTGTTACAATATATGGAAATGTGTGTCTCGACAGATTTATTGCGGCTCGAAGTTAAGATCGTTCAACAAATTCTCCAGTATGCAGGAATAATTTAGGTCAAGAATGTACTTTGCTTCTGCAATTGTGGAATAGAACGTCTGAAATATGCAATTTTGAGCTACACGTTATAAAGTATCCGCGATTCATGGAAATGTGCGGTTTAATAAATTCACTGTGGTTCGGAGCCACAAATTTTTAACGCCGAACAAAGTCTGCGGTATGAAGGAATAGTTTAGAATAATTTCGTCGTCTGTACGTACCGAGACATCTGTAGGGCTTGACCCAACGTGACAATTTGCATTTGGTTCTTGCAGGCTTGCACCAACCGCTGACCCTTACGTAGTGCGAAGACTCGACAATGTTGGTGATGTCTCTCTTAGGATAAGCCTGAAAACGTCGCCACGAATTATAGCAACTGTGTCACTTTATGGAAAAAATATTTAACAAGATAAAGATGCAATGAAATCGGCAAGTTCATTGAATTTTACGACAGATAACGGGGCACGCTTCTTTAAAAAAAAAACTCTCTATCGAAAGCATTCATTTATTGCATCTCAAACGCACATAGCTCAATTATCGTAGCGATATCTTTGATAAAATGCTTATATCCAGTTTACTTTCATCAAGATAACGAGCTACACATATTTTATGAATGTTCTAGCTTCTGCGAGGTTCTAATTGAAGTACTCGCTAATTCCTTTTTGCTTAACATCATCGGAAGTAATTAAATTGCTTCGACAAGCGAAAGGAATAACGAAAGGAAAAGATACCTTCTTGTTCGAGATTTCGATACGGTGATCTTATTTATGCTCGCGGAATATAAGTTTATGCATAATTGATTTCATTTGAATAATTGCCGTAATAGAATCAGCTCTCATGCCAATAAAATTCGCAGTTCCCTGAATGACCCGTGCACTGAAAATTGCATTATTGCCTTTTAAGCTAATTTATGGTGCTCTCTGCCATCATTAATTCATTTACCACTACTACGGCTGATACTACTAGTTGAATACATTCGAAGAACTAATGATAACTATTGAATTACAGACATTTATGTATTTACGTGTAGTTCGTTCTTTCATACACGCCTGTGCCGCTATAAAATGTAGAGCCACTAATGAACTACTAATATTTGCCGAGCTTTTACGGCTTCTTAATGCATCAACACAGAAACGTGAACATCTGAGTCTAATTTGTACCAACGATTCGAAACTAATTCTTACAAAGTCATTAAATTTTGCGGTCATTAATGCATCAACGCAGAAAAATGAACATTTAAGTCCTGTAAAATTTTCAATCAGTTCTTACAATTTCATAAAAATTTGCATCTGCTAAAGCAAACGATACACAAAAGTATTATTTCTTAAATTCAAAATCTAAGCAACTCTTCATAAAAATGCATTATCTCCTCCGAAAAAACCAATCAATATTCTCAAATTCTCTAAAGGTTTGAAATCATCGACAGGAAAATTTCAATTGCAAATCGACCGATAGAAAACGCTTCCTACACAAAAATCCGCAGGCGGCTGCAATTGCAACGAACGATTACGTACGCCGTGCGTAAAAGAAGAAAATAAAAATCGAATACATGCACATAGAATTTCGCCGGGGGATTCAAGAGACTGCGGAGGTGTACTCGCAGCGTTAATTTCGATCAATTGACGGTCCAGAATATAAAAAAAATAATCGTAACATATTGTACTGCAAATATTGAAAAATAGTGACAAGTAGAGTAGTGCCTTCTTTAGTTAAATTATCCAATTAATAAAATCATTTTTTTAACACTATAAACCTATCGAGGTCTAAAAGCGACTAACAAAAATTGCCTCATAAAAATTACAAGATAGAATCTATTCGAATTTTTCACAATTTTTGTAACAACGTGTACCCGAATAAAGGAATAAACAATTCAACAATTTTTAATGGAAGCAGCTCTATGACTTCAATAATTATGAAATAAAAAATGTGAAACCGGTCATTTGACCGGCGGTGGTAGGTTTTGCATTAACACTCTATTTAGAATATTCCAGCTTTGCTTGAAAGCTGAAAGGCCCGCGATGTTCCAAATTTTTTTAAATATCCTGAAAAATAGCAAACTAGTAGACAAGACATTTCAACTAAGGACGGCAGAGCAGTGGCAGTGGCAGTGGCAGTGGCAGTAGTAAGTAGTAAATAGTGCAATTAATAAAACAATTTGCATATAGTTTTTATATTTTCCACATATATTTCCTTAATGTATTCTACCATTCGCAGTTTTCATAAATAACTATAAAATAAATTTGCCTGTTTTTGTGCAAAGTATCGTTGAAGAGAAGAATTCTCAATAGAGAATTTGAGACTATATTTCAAACTCTTCGTGAACAGTACACGAGAATTTATCATAATCTATCGTACACGTGTGATAATCCTATTTAGCCGATGGATTAATCCTCGAGTATCGAAGCCGAACAATCGCAACGAGTATCGGCGACAAAATGGCGTGCAATGCGTGCAGAAGGAGAACGCGGGTTCGTGTTCGATTAAGGACTTTTTACGGACCGGTTGCGTGGCCGTGCCCATTGGAAACGAACGACGCGACGTGATCGTGGGAGGTACGACGGACGGTCTTCTCCAAGGACGAGGTACATTATGCTCACCTTCTTGCAGTATTCGAGGATGTCGAGTTTGTCCGTCATGCAGCTCTTGGTGTCGGCGGACGAGACCCAGCGGCCCTGCTCGCCCATGTGCTGCGCCAGATACACGTCGCCGGCCTCGCATAATGTCGCAACCTTCGCAAAGTGTTTTCGCATAAAAAGAAGTAGACAGTCACCCCTTTCGCTGTCACACAGGCTGATCTCCCCCGCGAAATAAACGGGAGACGCCGCACCGCGTCGCGACGCGGACACTCTCTCTCTCTCTCTCTCTCTCTCTCTCTCTCTCTCTCTCCGACATGCGATAAATCTTAAAACGCGGAGAAAACTTAGCGAACGCGCGCGCGAACGACCTTTTCAAACCGGGCTGCACGGTCTGAATACAAAAATTCCCCCGGTTATCTTTGCCAGCACGAGGGAGAAATGCTCGTCCGGGAACGTTCCCGGCACCTGGCACGCGAAAATCTTCGGGATTCTTGTCTGCGGACGAGGATATAGGGGTGGAACGGTTCTCCAGACGGTTCAACCACCCCTAAATGCCCAGGCTGAGTCTTAGATGGGACAGCCGGCTCTTGGATGAACGATGATTCAAGCGGAGTCGGCAGAAACGCTTTTGTATAGACTCTAAAACTAAATAACACTTTTGACACGTTATTTACTGACTACTAGTCCATGTTTCTTGGGAATTTACGTTTCACGGTGGATTTAACAGTGAATTCCGAATTCGGATGGCGGCTGAACCAGGTATTTCATGAATTTATGGTACAGTCTTCGTGATTCTAGTTTATGGTTCAACTATTGGAAACTCGAACATGTTAATTTGTGAAATAGTGATGCTCGAAATAAACTATATATTCTATCCATTGATCCCTCGCTTTAATAATCTACTAGATATGAATGTTATTCATATCTTCTGATACGAAACACTCTGTTATCAGAATCCAAGAGTAAAAGTAAACAAGAAAACTAGAAACAAAAATTGTTTCGTTCTAGTAGAAAAATGATTAAAAACGTAGTAGTGCTAATCAACGTATCTATTAACCTTGACCTAACCGCGGGCGAGTTTTATTTGTTACGGAGATGCGTCCTAAGAATTAGATGAAAAAGGATATAAGAAGAGAAAGAATTTACGAAAAATAAGAATTTATATTAATATCGTGTTACATCTTCAGGAAACGTGGCTATTTTGTTCAACAAGGAACAGTAAAGGAAATCTAAATTAAGAAAATATTTCGCCGCGGCTGAATTTTACGAAATATTTAATGAAACAAAAATTTCGAATCTTAAAAGTTCGACAATTACTAGCAGTCTTAACAGAGACCAAAGAGTTAATGGATTATTATCAGAACATTGCGATTAAATATAGTTCCATTCTCCAAGAAAACAAACAACCCACAAATTGCCAATATTTCCAATGTTGCTTTCGGTGGACGTAATGTATAATCAATTGGCAAAACGGAAGTAGGAAAAGATGATCGATCGTTTCATAAGTCGATACGAAGACCGTGAGAATACATGAACGAATGTTGCAAGAAACGAGACCGCGACTTTGCATGCATATTCATTCGCGATGCTGCATATAATTGTCTGTTTCACTTTCTTCCCTGCTAACTTAAAACGGCCATAATTTGTCCAATTTAATTACATACGTTTCAATATCACTCGAACATCATTTCCTGCTCCACTTTCATCCTTGAAAAACCAATTACGTCCGCTCGAGGGGCTCTCTCTCTCGTTCAAATAATTTCCCTGTATCCACCGCACTGTTTACTCGGCTCTATCATCATTTCGCCATTGAATCGGCCGCATGTTTTATGCATAAATCGACTCCATTGAACCATTACCGATGTATTAAGAAACATCGCGTCAACGTTCCACAAAAGCCGCGATAAAATCGAGGTCGGGCCCGATCCGAGTCGAGCCGGAGGCTCGTTACTGGTCTCTCTCGTTCGGCCATACAGAGAGAGAAAGAAAGACAGAGAGAGAGAGAGGGAGAGAGAGAGACGAGTGGAGAGAAGAAAATTAGCTGGCGAATCGATGCGAGGTTGGAGCCACGAACGGAAATGATTTGAGACGCGTCTTCGTCGTCTACAAGCTGTGATCGAAAGAAGTTGGACTCCGGCTGAACATCTTAGGTGTAGAGAGCAATTTTTAAGATAGAATCTGCTCAAACTCCATCAATCTGTGTGCAGTCTTCTTTCACGCAATTCTTTCAAAATTATTCATAAATGTCCGACGAATGGAAAAATTTATCGAACAAGCGTCGCAGCAGCGTTGGACATTATTCGAATTGTTGCGAATAAATGTTTATCTACGGTAATTATCCGATGGAAAAATTTTTAGTCGAATATTTTTTTCGAATAATGATTATTCATTATTCGCCATAAATTATTCTATCTACTTATTCGAGTAATTCTTTACTCGAACAGAGATTGTAAAATTATTCGAATAATAATGCGAATTATTGTTGACTGTGCTTGTTTTTATGTAATTTTATGATATATTCAGTCCGACTGCAAATTAATGCGACAGTAACGAATAACTAATTTTATTCGTCAATCTTTAACTCTTCATCTGAATAAAATTTTGCCCAACTCGTCTGCCCAACTTGTCTGCTGTCATTCGACGCGACTTCTTCCGCGTCACGCTTTTACAGTATCTACCTTTGAAGTACTATTTCCCTTCCGGGAAGAACGAGAAGATACGAAGAATAGAAGACCGCAGCATTTTGAATGTTTCTCTGACAAATATTTGAAGTATGACAAAAGACCTCGCGTTTCTCCTTTGTTTTCTCATGTCTGTTGCCACATAACAGAGCAGCAGGATCATGATTCTGCTAAATTGATCGCGACACACGTTAGAATGGAATTTGATTCAGTTGAATGGAATTTAGCAAACCGATACACAAAAGTGTGCAACATTGGCCTGCAAAGCCACTTGTTTTACGCAATGCCGATGCAGAAGAATACATTTAATTCGATGCCTGTATCATCAAACTCGTACTAAATTGTTCATAAAACACGTTAAGATATCTATAGCTGGTTGAAATTTGGCAGACTGATAGGCAAGAGTATATGGAATTGACCTGTAAAGTTGCTAAGCGTGATATCGATGCAGGAGAATAAATTCCGTTCGATGTTCTTATGATCGCACCTAGTATTCTCAAATCGTAGAACTGCACGATCTAGCTCCTACCGAATTGCTCATAAAACACGTTAAGATATCTGCAGCTGGTTGAAATTTGGCAGACTGATAGGCAATAGTATATAGTATTGACCATTAATACCTATACGGAAAAATAAATTCAGTCCGATGTCCTTTTCTGATCCTTTTGTGTCTTTCTGAAATCGCTCGTTGCAAACGTTGAGCCAATAGCAGCTCGATCAAATTTGTCGAACCGATGGACAAAGGTATACAGAATCGACCTGCAAAGCCATTAAACTCTATCTGATCTCATTGCCGTGAAATTATATAGAGTCCAATTTCATTTCGGTCGCAACTTGTATTCTCGAATCGCGAAACCACACGATCAAGTTTCGACCAAATCGTTCGTAGCAAACGTTGAGACAGTCACAGCTCAATAAAATTTGGCAGTTAGAGAAAAAAAGGTACATAAAATTGATCTGTGAAATATGATACTTAAATTCTTATGCGATCCCATTGTCGACGAACATTTTTTTCCTGTTTCATCTTTACGCAGAGGACGGTGAACAGCCAGATGTAAGATCGCGGTGCGACGTCCGGGGGCTCGATGACATTCGTAAGAAAAAGGAAACGTGCACTCTCGAGTGGTACTCACCTGCGGCTCTGATCTTCCTCCGGCTGGTGCCAACTCGAGCCTCTCCGACACCGCCTGCAATGCAGAAAACACCACGGTGAAATTCAGCACGCGTGAAACAGTACGCCCCGCGACGACGCAACGCGGACGCAACACGAGAGAGGCGAGTTTTTTTGCCGGCGCAGCGTCTCTCGTTGATACATACCCTCCCTTGAAAATTTTCACGCGTCCTTCCGTCAATTTCATTCGAGGAAATCCGGTAAAGCTGACTCTGCGCGCCGGAAGCACCCGTCGAGAGACTCGTCGAGACAGATTACGCGGATTCTTAGCGGAGCGCTGTCAAATGCGAGCGAACACTTGAATCGAACCCCGTGAATTAATTTTCTAGTGTCGGCTTCATAAAACGACGCTTGAGAGTCATGTTTCTCGCGTTCTCGAAAAGTCAAGTACAAAAACGTCTACGCGATTTTATTAACGTTTCCGTAAATCATTCTACGGATCGTGAAAATAATTATGATTATGTCTTCATACTTTCTATCTACGTTTATGAGAAATAATTTACCGGTGCGATATTTATTTCGCATAAAAATCTGCAGTCTGGTTAAAAAGAATTTCGCATTTCAATTTATACAGTGACCACGTAGTTCGAAAAATGTCTCAATGAGTTAGAATCATAGTGGCGAAAGTCGTGTTTTCCTATTGCGAGAAACAAGGAGCGTTAATGTTTAATGAACCAAATTCATTGTAAAGATAATTTAGAGTCAAGTTAATTAATAGTAACTTCATAATTTATTTCACTTATCTTTTTAACAATTTGGCACATGTAGATTTCATTTTAAGACGTAGGTCAAAATTTTCGTAAATATGTGCAAACTTCGTGCGAATATTTCTGCAGACAATCGAGAAACGAAACTGTTATAAAACATTAGCTTCTTTATTAATCTATGTGATAAACGAAGAATGCAATGAGCGTGCTACATTTTAATTTGAGTTGTCTTTGAATATTTATCATAATATACATTCTGTCTTCGTAGAATAAATTTTCATCCCCGGTCGTGATAAACTGGGTCACCGTTGTCCAGATAAAAATGGTGGACGAAAAACCCCGGCAGCTTTTCAACAATGTTTCCGTAACACTTTCAGAGTGTGCATGGGATTCTTGGCATCCGAAATATGTTCAGAGGAACGTGAATTTGCATAAAAATATGTGCAGGCCGGTAATCGGAGCAGAAATTATTTGCAGTGACTCGTAAGCTTCGCGGCGGTCCAATGCGAGTAAGGGTTAAACAAACTAATTTGCATTAACAGATACCGGAGGCTACGGCAGCGGGTTTATGGACTTAACGGCTACCAGTTAAGAGGCTATTAATAAATTCGTTTTAGCTCGGTAGCAAATTACATTTGTCTTTTCGGTTTATTTAATCGTTCCGCCCGGTTCTGGCAATTGTAACGTTAATGCTTCGTAAATTATGAACTACAATTTCTTTCATAAAATCGCTTTATATGTCTCTGCGGGAAAAGATACCGTAAAGACGGCTTTATTTCTGGATGAACGATGCGTGGTCGTTGGAGGAATCTAACAGATTTCTCCTGGACAAGCTTTGCTAATAGAAAAATGGGAATATCTTCGGAATGAATCATGAACTTCGCTCTAAATTTTCTTTTTAGACGAATCATCTCTCCCCAATTTTTCTCGACTACATAAACGAGTGTTTTATGCGCTTATGGCAAAGATGGATCAGTGGAATACAGAGCAGCGAAGACATCAGAAGAATTGAACGACATTATTTCCAATTTTGTCGAACCATTAAATGAAGAAATGCATCTTAATTTCACTTCTGTTTATTAGAATTGATGTAGAAAATATTTATCTTCGACACAGATCCGCAGTCTATACACGACACACTAGATTCAGTGAACTCCGCCCGAATAAAAATCTAATATCGATAAACAATTCTAAAAGTTTAACCAAATTTTCCCCACGCGTTCCTTTCGATACGATTTTACAGAGGGAAGTTTCCCCTTCACAATGACATCTCAAAAGTTGATTCGCGAGTTTTCGTCGCGATTTTACCGTAATTCAAATCAAAACCGTGCCACGGGCAAGCAACTCCGGTTTCTCCCTCCATTTTATAATAAGAACAGAGTCCTTGGGGAAACTAAATTGAAGGACGTTAAAGTAGACACTTCACCCTTTGAAATGCGTGGAGGTAGAATATTTTCAGACTTTTTTTTTAGCCCGAGTTACGGAAGTTCTAAAATCAACAATATTTTTCAGTCGTGATTCACGACTTGGAATATTTCCGACTAATTTTTGGGGCAAAGTACGTTCAAGATCTTCAAAGTGAAGACTTCGTCTTTCAAAATGAGCGGAGGGAGAATATTTTTAAATCCGTTGAGCCAGACTTAGAGGATTTTGAAAATGGAGAATATTTTTTGGTCATAATTAGACTGCGGATCTTTATGCAAAATCTTGCGCATCGATTGCAAGCAACAAGAACCGAATAGATATTTATTCTTGCCTTGCACAATTTGAATGAGTTATGAATACTATTTAATAATTTCTAAATACTATATAATACAGTCTGAATGAGTTCCATCTACATAGTTTTGTCATAAATGCATAAAATTCGCTGTCTGGTCACAGCATGACTTTTTAATTTCGCGTGGAATATAAATCTTCGCCCAATAAGTTTTTGGAACAAAATAGGTTCGATGACCTGCAATCGGTGTATTGACCCTTCAAAATGAGCACACGAAGATTGCTGTACGATTTTTTTAGCCCACCTTACGGGAGCTGAAGGATCGGCGTTGTTTCTCGGTAAATAATTCACGAGCCTTTAGTTCAGCGGAGTGGAGTACAAACCTAATATAAAATTCCGTCGAGCAGAAATCAATTGAATCGCATCGGTGTAGTGAGTTGGCTCGCGAAACAAATTTCTGGTGCAGGTTTTCACCGCGAACAGGGGTTAGCTGAGCCAAATAAAGTGCGACTCGAAGCAAAATACATACTGCGAGAAGCGATCATCGAGCTGCCGGCAATTCCGGGGGCACTTTTCGTTTTCAATTTCCTCGAACGCAGGTCCGATTCCGTGCCCAGAACGAGATCTCCGCTGACTTGCCAAAAACATAGTTCGGCGAAAACAATTAACGATCTCTCGGGGTAAACGCCGTTCAATCCCACTTTCCCCATTTTACCGGAGTTCGGGGAGCCGTTTTAACGGTGCTCCGGAGCAATCTATCGAACTTTCGAACAACGTCGGCCGATATAACGCGAGATATTCAGCCAAGAGAGAGAAAGAGAGAGAGAAGGAGAGGGAGAGAGAGAGAGAGAGAAGGAAGGAAGAGAGAGGAAGGGAGAGAGAGCAAGCTGCCTCGGAACAAGTAACACAAGGGAATTAGATTCCGGGCGTAATCGTTCGGCGAGCGCGCACGCGGCTGGTTCTATCGCTGATTTAGTCATCTCGGCTCGGCTAATGACATATTAACGGGCTATTGAGCGCGGATAGAGGGGGTTCGATGGAACAGCCACGGACAATCTGCTCGACCGGGAGAAACCTCCAGAAAACCAGCCTCCCCATCTTGTCTTCGGAAAATGCTAAATTTTACCTCATTTCTTTTCAGACATAATTAACTTTATATTTATCGATTAACGCACATTAAATTTATTTAGTCTCTAATTTTGTTTACTTTTTAATCAAAGAATTTCTTTATTCTTCTATTTTGCTTATTTTTCAATAAAAAAAAGTATTTTTGTTCTTTAATTTCGTTTATTTTTGAATAAAAGAATTTAATATGTCTTCTTATCTACTTTATTTTCATGATGAAAATAATTAGATAAATCCTATCCCATCCAATTAGGTAGGATCTAATTAGGGCTCAGTAAACGCATAAAGTGGCATTCATTGAAATTACGACACGAGGTGTTCGTATTTACAGCCACAGACTTGAATAGCTGAATTGTAGATCGATTTTTGAAATCTGTTACGAGAAATTGGACGCTTACAGCGATTTCAGAAGAACGCAACTGCACTAAACAACCGGCGATACATTACTTCCTGGCATCAGAATATGCTCGGCGTTCCTTCGACGACTTCATTCACGTATTTCCATTCGCGAAAGAATGCTCGTAGCTCACGCGATAACGTCGCGATTCCGTTCCCGTGATGGTCTGTTTGCATAACGTGCCATTGACCATTAATCTCTTGCACGGCCGCATCATGGCGTCTGCAGGCTCTAGGCTGTATTGCGTTCGAATCATCCACTGCACCACTCACGCTATTTATCGCTTCCACGTAGCGCTACAGTGTTGTACTGACCATTCTCCGGAAATTTATTCCCGTTAGTTGTTGACAAGCTGTAAACCTCTGTTTTACAATTTTTCGGGATACCGCAATTTTTACGAGGCTCCACAATTTTTTAGAGGGTTGATAATTTATTCGGGGAGTCCACAATTTATGGGAAGACCCTGAGACTTTTCTCTTCGCAGATCCCATAGAACATTTTCATAGGTCCCAAATATCATCATGAATCCATACATTGTTGTATAACTATTTGCAAAATGTTTTGTCTTAAAATTTACACGATGTCCCTAAAAACTTTCGCGAATCCTGAAATATATTTTTATCGTGTCTCAGAATGTTAGTAGAACTCGCAAAACATTTTTCCCAGCCTCTAATAATTTTGTATAACGTCCAATACTGCTCCATCAACCCCTAAAATTTTCGTGGAACCTCTAAGATCGTTTCTCGAATACTTAAAAATTTCGCAGCTCCAGCATCTTCGTCGTAGACCTTAAAATATTTCCATCGACCCTAAACATTTTTGAAGAGAGCGCGAAATATTTTCATATACCCTATAGAATTCTTTTATGCAGCCCTAAAATTATCATGGCCCATAAAACTTTTTCGCAGCCCTTTAAATGTTTTCAGAGGCCCTTAAAATCTTTGCGAAGCTAGCTATCTTTGTGAACCTCAAATATTTTTCCTGGGTTACAAAATTCTCGTTGAGCCTCCATTTGTTTAGCGAATTTTCATTCACAAAAACTCTTTTGAACTTTGTACGCGCGAACAAAA